AGAACTAAATTAGATGAATTGGTGTTGTCCAGTGAAACGTGTGTAATGTTTAAGCTCATTCTTTGTTCACAATTATTTGCTTAGTCTGATCAATTAAGTCAGTGCATTCTCGTTTGCCGGCCTCCACTGTAGATGTATCAGTACTTGGGCAGCCGCTAAAATTCCGGAATGGTCGCACAGCGCAGAACAGATTCCTCAAAGTAGGTGAATTGAAGCTTCAAAGAGGCACCAAGTGTGCCTTTTATTTGTTTTGGATTTGTTCAAAATATCAATCAGTGCAGAATTTAGGCAGCTTTGACAGAGCGTATATCATCATGGGATCCTAAAGATCCATCAAAGCGAGGAATACCAACTGAACAACTCGTTAACATCTATGACAAATGGGGCCATGGGAAATTTGGGATGATTCTCACGGGCAATATTTGCGTAGATCCGGTTTGTTCTGTTATACTTGTTTCATTTTTGTTGCTAATTTTATATTAACCATTTTCAGTACAACATGGAATCAGCTGGGAATACTGTGTTTAGCAAGGAGAATGACTCACAAAAGCTGAGAGAAATGGTCTCAAGGCTTGCAAGAGCGGCTAAGCAAGACGGAGCTTTAGCTGTTGCTCAGGTGTCCAATGTGAGTAGATACTACCAAATGGATCAAGTCCTAGAGGGCTGAACCGCTCTTAAAGGCAAAAGTCGGGCTCAATAAGGGGGTATTATGGCGATTGAAACTGAGTATAGAGATGCGAAGTGGAACGACAGTGGAGAAAAAACTGAGAAAAACCGTCGACAAGGCCGTTAACAAAACCCTCTTTCCCACTAGCAGTGAAGGAGGCTGGCTTGGGAAAGAGGCACGTACAAACAAGTTTTCTGGAGATGTCAGTCGTTCTATCGGTTGATACGGCAATCAACCTAGCTGATTTCACACGTTATGCCAGCCACGCACCACTCCGGAGGTGGGCGGTCGGAGCGCCGCCAGGCGGCGAAAAGCGCTTAACACGTTGACGACAAGCTGACGCGCATGCGCGTCAAGAATTTCGCACCGCATCGGACATTCTGACGCGCAAGCGCGTCAAGTCTATGTTATTCATTTTTATCGTGCTTGCGCTCCTTCTTCTCGGGTTTCTTGTATTCATTCTATAGATAATACATTAGCATAACTATAAACCGCTGGCAGCCAGAGTGGTCAAATATCCTATTGATTTAGCAAAGATTTTCCGAACGCACAAAACTTTCATTTCAATTCTTTCCTAGTATTCCTTTCACTGTCGTTAACATTTATATGAAAGATTGTAGAATTAGTTAATACAAAACTCTGTGAGTTTCAATATATTTGCATGTGATGGAAATACTTAGATACAAATGCTTTTAATTTCATTCGCAGCGAAAGCGTGTTTTTTACTTCTTCGTGGTCATTATGCACTCTTCTAAACAAAAACCTACTGCTACTTATACAGTTAACCTTTATACGTTCATCCTTGCCGAAATAGTCCTATGAAATTCTAGTTATTGTGCATTTTTAACAAAAATAAGCGGAAGTAAGGTGAGGACGGCGCGGTCGCAAAATCGCTCCTGTCCCACGAGGTGCAAAATGCCAAAACACATGCGATGTCGTCAACGTGTTTAATACGTGCCCTGGAGCCTTATTACGGCGCCGTTTGGGATTCTGAGCATGGTAACGTCTCTGTGGGTGCGCAGCCATGCACAAAGACGACAAAAGGGATTGGTTTGGTCCATCAAGCCTGACTCGTGCCTTTAAAGCAACAACCCCAAATGAAATTCATGGTGAATAATCGCGGTCGATAATGAAGTTGTAGATGTCTTGAGTGTAAATGAAAAAAGCAAAGTAAACCACCAATGGAGCTGTCAAACAGTGCATCTCTCCCTTCTTCTCCGGAAAGAAGCGAGGCGGTGTTTGGACGAGTTGCATGAACTTGCTTGCTCCATGGCTCCTCTAACCTGCACGTATTTGAATCAGTCGCTATTTCGAAATCTACGTCGCGTGATAGGCGGGTTTGCGCAGCTATCTTGACCACATCTCACATTGCCTGACATATAGTTACTTTTGTAAGGCCCTTACTGCCCAGTCGCCACTTCGAGCCGCGATAATGGCTCAGCTGTGATACTTATGGACTACTCTATCCTATCCACAGAAAAGATCATCAGGCGCGACCTCATCTGAGGTTGTTGCTTTAAGCCGTCTATGCTACAGTACTTATGGTAGACAATCAAATACACTACGAATAGTTATCATTATGTAACACAACCAACGCAGGATAAACCATTTTTGTCGTGAAGGCAACGGTCGTAATTACGATTAATGTCCAGTCTGGCAGATTTGCAGGCTGATTGACTGTTCATTTGATGATGAATTTCTTAGGCAGGTCGACAGACCCCAGAACCAGTGAATGCACATCCGTTCTCGTGCTCCGATATTCAACTGAAAGTGAAGCGACGTTTTATGGGTTTCGGAAAGCCGATTGCGCTCAGTGAGACACAAATCAAGACTGAAGTCGTAGATCGATTTGTGTACGCGGCGAAATTCGCTCACGATCATGGTACGTCCTGCATTAATAATTCATATGCTAGCGCTCGACACTTTACTGCCATTTCCATAGATTTTAAAAATATGGGCCATATTTCGGCATTGCATGGGCGGCGTCTGGGAACTTGCTACACCACAGCCTCAAGTCTGTAGACACACCCACACATCAGTCGAGCCAGAGCGACCTGAGGTACTTACCTAGACAAAAATGAAACATCTGGCGGTTGTCAATCTTTTTGGAGACGCGCCACGTATTCCTTTTCCCTTTAGAATTGAGTGGTATTTCGAACACGATTTGGCAGATACAGTGACTTGAGGGCCCGGCTGATGTCTACAGCGCATGCCCAGATGATCTGCTGTAAACCTGTGTCATTGGAATAAAAGGCTTGGTTGGCACACTTCTACCCTTGCACGAGACCTAAGCTGATCAAATTATTTATAGTACTGTGGGCTGAATTTGCGCTCTGACTAAGCCTTAATAAATAACACTATTGCAATGTTGATTATCTCCGCTTGATTCCGGCGTTGCAGCTCATGCCATTTGAAGCTTGTAAAGCGTCTTCCAGTCTACGTTATGACACAGAGTATGCAAAATGAAGATAAATGTGTGCTCAAAACGTATTTATGTTGGCCTGGACAATTCTCAAAGTGCATTTTGGGAATTAGAAGAGGTACACAAGGTAAAGAGGTGCGCGGAACACTATTGAGAGCATTCTCCAGCTTCTCTCTTTTTGCAACCTCGGCATTAAGAACTACAGGGGGGGGCAAAAAAAAAGACATTTTGCCCATGTCGCACTTCGGCCTTTTTTTCTTCGCAGAGATTGCCGTCGTTGACGGAAGTTCCTCAGCAAGTATTCCCTAAATGTCCCTCTATAAGTACACGCAGGCCCTCCTTCACTACCCTCACCGTCTTCAGAATATGACGTCATCTGTCACCGTCGTCGAGCTCAGGGAGGCCTACAGTAACTGCTTCAGCCTGAAGCTCTTACATAATTTCTTGGATCGATTCAACGTGGGATAGTTTCCTAGGGACATTAGCTCTAACTGTGCAACCCTCGGAACCGCCCTTCGGAACCCGTCGTAACGGTACACGATCAGTCGAGAACCCCACTGAGCTCGACCAGAGCACCATGTTTCCGGGGCAAACTTTCCTGATGCCGTCCACGTAGATGGCCACTATGAAGATTTTCTTATGAAATGAAATGCGCTCTTCAATTCTAAGTTGGGAGCACACGCTTTGAGCTGAGCAAAGTGTGATTAAATCCATTTGAATCTGGAGACAAAATGTCTTTTTTTATTGCCCCCCCCCCTGTATATTGTGTGTTAGTTTTTGTGCCTTCCGAGGTTGTGGTCACTGGAACATTTACTAGAGCGGCCTATATCCTATCATCTCGGTTTGTTCATCGCTGGATTCCGATTAGATTCAATGTGATAGCGAAATTTTCCTCACAACGTTGAATCGGGAGGAGTTTATTCTTAGGGGGGCATCGGATTCTCTTTGTGGTTCTTAGCATGAATGTCGGAACCGCTAGGAGAAGTCGAGGGCGCTTGGTCGATTAGTGCGTAAATTTAAACTTTGAACCATTCAGGCCTCCGAAGACGACGATCAAGTCGAAACGTTAGGCCGCTTTAATAAATGTTCCACCGACCAACCTCGAAAGGCACAAAAACTAACACACAATATAACTATTGAGTGCTTCCTCATAATCGGCTCGATGAACAGCCGTTAGCATGATCTGTATAGTGAACTACGTTTCCGCACACTTTTTTTTTATCATTACGTGGACTAGAAACGATCTGCAACGATCCAAACCAGCCATGGCTATTGGCTCAGGCTCATTAGTTTTGGATACGGTAAACTCCTTTGGAGACATACCCTAACTGTTGTGATTCTTGCTCACGAAAATAAAGGCAGATGTGCGAATTGTTGCGGCAGTGAAAGAAGAGGAATTCGTTGAATACTAGTATTACGGGCTTCCTCATTCTTTTAGTACGGCTGAGCTAAAGCGATGAGACAATGCGCGCTGGGGAGGGGTATAGGCGAGAGAGCGCAATGGACGAGAGGGCGCAGACATCCACAATTTATGAGAGAACGGAAGCCCTCGAAGTAGTCTTGGGAAGGCCCTAGCTTCCTTGTTGCGCCATTCAGAACCGGTGGAATGGGACATGTACGATGTCATGGTTGAGTCAGCTTTATTCTTTCCGATAAAGAGATCGACCTACCTGAACTTGCCGTAGGGTGTGCTTTCAGTAACTTTTTTTGTATGAGATGATTTGAGTTGAAAAAGAATTTGTGGTGACTTATTCGCTGTGAGGAATTTTCGATGTTTGAGGATTTGATGGAGTTCAAATTCATGCTGCTCACGGATATCTTTTGTCATCCTTCTTGTCACCGACGACAAATAATCGTACAGATAAGTATGGCGGATCTGTCGAGAATAGGATGCGAGTGATTCTAGAGATTTTTGAAGGAATCAAGTGAGTTTTCACTCAAATCTTCATCTGTACTGAATTGTAGTACCATAAGTTCTACCTGTTCCGAGATTATTTGATTGACTGTTGAAATTCTCCAAATTCGAAGCTTCTGTTATTCAAATTAATCGTGCCACATTGTTTTTCAGGAAAGCGATTGACAGTTCTTCAGGCTTCCTAGTGGGCATCAAGATAAACTCAGTAGAATTCCAAGATCGAGGTCTGGGTTTGGAGGATGCTAAAGTCATGTGTGGAATTGTAGAGGTGAGACAATGAGGATCGAAAACTGATGATTGACATGCACCAGGAGTAAATAAATGAGAAAAAACTTGAGCTGACAACTTCATAGGTTTCCAGAAGAAAGGAGGTAGTAGTCGTATCCTAACCTATGGTCTCCGGTTGAAATATTTTTGAACGTGTTCCAATATTTCATTATTTCATTTCATTATTTATAGCTACGAGACGTAGTGGGGGCAAAATCGCTTCGCTAATAATCATAAAGGCGATCTAAGTTAGTTCGAGTTTTTCAGAAGAGTGGCTTCGATTTTGTGGAGTTGTCCGGTGGAACGGCAGAACGACCAGCATTTCAGCACATGCGTGATTCGACTAGGAAACGTGAAGCGTTCTTCCTGGAATTCGCTGAAAAGGTGAGTACCTTTAAAGGACGAATTCACGATGAAAAGCAACCCATTTCAAATTAACCTAGGGATGGTGAGTGGTACACGAAAGAAGGAAGAACCATGAGAAACGGCCCAGAACCCGAGAAATGGGACCCCTTCCTTGCCCGTTGATTTGAGCATTGATGCGACTCTCATCGCTGTGCCCTCTTCAACACTACGCTCTCTCAGC